CTGGCACACTTATCCAGGCGTCAGGGACGGGGAACTCCCCTGCACAGGTGCGTCTAACTCGGGAAGTGATTTCATGTGTTGTGTCTTCGGTATTTTAAAGGTGCACTTTGAATGGCAAAGACATGATTGTAGAGTCACGCCTGCAAATGCCAGGAGGCAAAGGTCTCCGTACTGCACACGGCGTGTCTGGAAGCCGGTACAGTCCAAACTCTTCTTCAAGCAATTCAGTCAAAAGGCTGCGCTCATGTTGGTGGGCTTCTTTTTACTAAATCATGAGGCTGTTCTATTTATTTTATTTATTTATTTTGGTGGAGGAGGGGACTCAGGCCCGTGTGCTTGCCAGGCAAGTGCTTATTCTACTGAGCTATCTCCCAGCCCCCTATTTATTTATTTTTCGTGAAAGTTTTGTTTTTGGTTTTTTGTTTTGTTTTGCAGAACCAGGGATTGAACTCAGGCTCTTGCACTTGCCAGGGAAGCATTTATTTCACTGAGCCATCTCTCTGGCCCCTATTTATTTATTTTTAAAAGAATATAAAGTATTTTAAAAAATTAGAAACGACACAAAAGTTCATTAAACAAAGTAATAGGAATTGAATGATGGTTGTTGCATTCCTATCTTCAAATTAGTTATTTATACCAGATTTTTTTTTTGGTGCATTCAACATTTTCTTTTTATTAACCTGGAGCTGGATCTTGTAAGATATTTCTTTTTTGAATAATTTTATTGAGAAACAATAAAAATGATTAGTAGGACAGTTTCAATAATTAATACATTGCATATTGTTGTCTTCTTAGTGGTTATTCATATACCAGATGTAAACATGAAAAATTGGTTTAAAAATGTTATAAGAAATTAAAAGAAAAATAGTAAACAATTTATGCATTAACTGCTCCTTTCCATATACCTGCATAAATCAGCCTGTATAAGAGGCTTGCACACTTTTCAGTATCTTTTGGTCATAGAGACTCTTTGGGCAAGGCCGGCCGGCAGAAGGAAAGCAAAAGAAGAGCACGAGCGAAGCTCCACAGGTGCCGCACGGTGACCTGTGCGCTCGGGCAAAGCCTGGCAGATGTTCTAATTGAGTTAATCACGTGCATCAGAGACAAATACAACACTGAGATGTATAGATAAAAAAATCCTCAGATATAGTCCAAATTAAGGGCCTGAACTGTGTAAGAAAAATGAAGGAAGATATAACACTACTTTCAAAGTAATGGAAAAATTCTCTATTTTTTTCTGTAAAGGATGCATAGATGCACAATTAGCACCTATCCCTGGGTGGGAAAAAAGCTCTACTTTCTCCAGAAGAGTGGTGTTTCCTTTATTTTTTGGGTAACAGTACATATTGCCCCATTTTTTCTTACTAATTTTTTTAAAATTAATTTTATTGAGAAAGAAGTAGCAAGGAGATGGTTTCAAAACAGGCTAGTAGGACAGTTACAATAATTAATACACTGCATATTGTTGTCTTCATAATAGTTATTCATAGTACAAGATGCAGACATGATATCTTACTCATTTTAAGTTATTTACCAGGAATAAAACTTGAGCTTCTGTGTCTTCGTATTTCCAAACTGTCTTCTCTCTGATTCAGGAATGTAACTTAGAGTGCCCACTGTGTTCACACTTACCCAAAGAGCCCGGGTCACCACTCAGGACCACTGGTGTTTCAATCATTTTAAAATTTGATTTATTCAGATGATAGCTGTGATACTTAATGGCTTAAAGTTGCACTGTACTAATTGAAGTTTAAAAGATGCATCTGTGAGTATCTGTCCACATTCTCATAACTTTCAGAGTGAACTTAGCACTTCAATTGAGGAATAAATACCTGAAATATGAAATAAATACAATTGTTTGTCCACAAGGCCAAAAAATCTTTAATTTTGGAAAAGGTTTTGGATGATACTCACACAGTTTACAAAGCTGCAATAGCTCTATGGAAATGAAAAATAATGAACTCACATGTTCAAATTTATTTTATATTAAATTATCTGATGGCTATGAATTTCTACAAAGTGAAATTTATTATTCTTTGTTGTAATTTTCAAAATAAAATGCATATTTATATTAATTGATACATTTTCAACTGAAAGAATCTTGGCTCCAAATCAAAGTACTATTTTATTTAGACACAAATTTGTTTCTGTCAGTTCTATGCAGTTACTTGAGTCTTTTGCTCTTATTTCAGTCACAGCTATAAATACATTTGTTGCCCTCTCTACTCGTAGACCTAGGTTAGAGGAGTCATTCTTAAAATTATAAGCATATAAATTGTGTCCATCCTTTTCAGATAAGAAGATTCCACATTCCTATGCCACTTTGGTGAGAGAGCATGTCCTGCTTTAATGGGCAAGCTTCATAGAAATAATAGCAATATGTAACCTAGACTAAAAAAGTTAAACCAATATTAAAAACAGAAGTTTTCTTTGAACACACAAGATAATTCCAAAATAATTTAAACACTTTCAAATATAAAATTTGTTTCATTCATTGATTAATGTATTAGCATTTATAATTTAAGCACAAATAAATGAATGCAGGAAAGGTTAACTAGCCTTGACCTCATCTCATGAGTAGAAAACGACAGTGACTCTTTTCTCCCTGTGGTTTTCTTATATTTTAGCAAATATTAAAAGTCACAAGCTATGTTCATTTCCCACTTTGTAAGCTAAACATTCATCATAACAAACCCTAAAGATGCGCCTTCCTGTTCATACCATCTATTGAAGCGCAGATCTTCTGCTCTGAGACAGCTGTCCGCCACCACCCCTGCTGTGGCCTTGGTAAGTCAGGACTAATTCTGGGAAATATTCTGCTTGCTTTTGCCTTCTCTCCCACAGACTGACAATTTTTCCAGAAAAATCCACTTTTGAATGCAAACATTTCATCCATAGTAAAAAATAAAACACAAATTGGCACTTTTCAGACATCGTATTGAGGTGTGGATGACACGATATGTGGTGCCACAGAAGGCGCTAATCATGTAAATCACGCAAACTCAAGGTCTGTTCCTTGGCAAACAGACCTGTCCCACTTCGCTCTGTGGGTAATCCTCTGCAATCTCCGTGCAGGTGTTTCTCTGAGTACTTGGAAACTGAAGAATAAATTTACAACGAGTCTATGAGTATTGCCTGAGAGTAAATTATTATGAATTAAGTAAAATTTATAGACACTATGCAGTGTGGCTTACATGTAAGTTAATATTAAATCAATAAAATATTGCTGTTTTCAGTTGGACCTCCCATTACAAATACTTATTATAATTTTGTACTAATCTAGTAAAAGAAATTATAGAATTGTTGTACTAATAATGTAATGGCAAGTGCAGCAAGATGCACTCTTGTGGGCCGAGACCAGACACAGCGAGCTTTACTGGGCCGCAGGGCGGCCAACACTCTACCACAGCTGAATGGGGAGTGCCGACCTCCAAGGGCCTTTGGGCTGGGTTTTTGTACATTGACAAATAAGTGGAGACCACATGACTTCATTTTGGTATTTTGCAGAAATTCACAAGCTTAACATTCACCAGGGGTTTTATGCATGAACAGATTCCCCAGTTAGCATGGAAACTACATTCCAGAGGTTTGTACGATTTATATTTCTCAGGTGCTAGGTAGGCAGACTGTGGTTACACGCCATCTTGCCCCAGAGTTTGACTTTCATGTTTTCCCCTAGATAACATCTCGTTCCTCTTTATGTGGGTTTATGGCTAAGAGGAGAAGAGGCCAGCAGCGAGTTCATCTCAGCTCCAAAGTGTAGTCGTAAGGGAGAAAGGAGCCTCTCTTGCCATAACAATGCAGAGTGATCACAACACGCAACTGATACTTAAAATTTTAGAAAAGATTGTAGTGAAAGCAATTTGCACCAATCACCCTGGAAGCCTCTTTCTTCACTGTAAACGCATTACCTTATTCCAGGATTCTTGCCTCTCTCTGAATGTATTCAAGACACCAGGACAGCCACAACTGTTCAACTAAAGAAGTGGCTTCAGGAAGTGGCAGGGATAAAGGAAAAGTGTGTTCAAATTTGGTAGAGGGTTTTGAAATGAATCATGGCAACATGTCTTCTAAAATACTACATTTAAAAATGTGAACATTCAACTACATTCTTTTTTGACATTTGTTTCTTGTCTCTTGTTTTCTTTTATTGCCCTTTTTTTTTTTAAAAAAAAAAAAACCCATTTACTTTAAAGAGGGCATAATGATAATTGGTGTGACATTAGAAGAAGTACGCATTTAGAAGACCAAAAGGACGGGAATTCAAGCACGGTTTTAGTATTACACCTCACTGTCCTCAGTGCAGTTGCTTGGTTCACAGACTTCAGCACATATACTTAGTCAGGGTGAGAATCCTGCCCATTAACTGCTACTTTAAAAAGCCTGGTGGAGATACTTCGGACCATTGTCTTAACCTCAACTGTGTTCTTGATCTCACTTATTCTGAAGACTTGCAAATGTCTTAGTATTATCTCTTTCGATTTCTTATGTTAATAAATTACTAAGTGTACATTAAGGAAAACTAAATGCACATAATTTAATGGGAAACAAGCAATAAAGAAAAATGAATATCAGAGACCACAACATACAATTATTATGTCACATCTCATAAATTTGATATATTACATACTAAAATCATTTATTTATTTATTTATTTATTTATTTATTTATTTATTTTTGTAGTTTAAGGAAGGGTCTACAAGGTGTTCAGGGTCTCACTACTAGATCGGACTCATAGTGACCCGCCTGTTTACAGCCTCCAAAAGCTGGGATTACAGGCACGCGCCACCAGGCCCAGTCTCAATTGCTGTCTCAGCGTGTTCCGTGGATGGCGCTGGCACAGCAGGCTCGGAAATCGAACCACCAGTCCCTGCACCTGCTTGAAGGCATTTTAATTCACTGAGCTATTTGGGTGGCCCTTAAAATCATTTTAAGTACTACAAATTAAATATTTATCAAGTAGTAATGTAATGTGGAATATGCTGAGGCAGAAATTTTGCCTACATTTTCAGAGAGCAGATTCTCTGAGTCACTCTTCCCAGGGCCCCTAGAACCTCCTTGTTCCTTAAGCTGTAGATCACAGGGTTCAGCATCGGGGTGAGGATGGTGAAGAAGACCGCCAGGACCTTGTCCTCTTCTGGAGATCGGAGGGTCTTAGGGCGGAGGTAAGTGTAGATACAAGGCACATAGTAGAAAGTCACCACGGTGAGGTGGGTGCTGCAGGTGGAGTAGGCCTTCTTCGTGCCCTCCTGGGAGCGCATGCGGTAGACAGCAAGGAGAATTTTCCCATAGGAAAGTACAATGACAATGAAAGGCAACAAAAGAAAGAGGATGGCACTCAGGAACACTGTGTACTCATAGACCCTGGTGTCGGTGCAGGCCAGAGTCAGCATGGCTGAGACGTCACAGAAGAAGTGATCGATGGCCCTAGACCTGCAGTAGGGGACTTGGAGGATGTACACTGTGTGGGCACAGGCATTGACAGCGCCTATGGCCCAAGATCCCAGGATCAGCTGCACACACACTTTTGTGTTCATGCATATGGAGTAGTGCAGAGGAAAGCAGATGGCCACATAGCGGTCATAGGCCATGGACATCAGGATCAGCGCTTCTGAACCTGCTATAATAAGGAAGAGGAAGCTCTGGAACCCACACCCGATGAAGGAGATGGACTTGTTCCCCGATAGGAACCCAGACTCCATCTTGGGCACAGTGGTGCAGACGTAAATGAGGTCCATGAGGGAGAGCTGGCTGAGCAGGAGGTACATGGGTGTGTGGAGGTGGGCGTCCAGGAGGATGAGCAGGACCATGCACAGGTTGCCAGCCAGGGCCATCAGGAAGACAGAGAAGGTGAGACTGAAGAGCACGAGGCCAGCCCTTGATGGGGGGAACAGGCCCAGGAGGACGAAGTCAGTAGAGGGCTGCGTGTAATTTTCCATGGGGAAGTTGTTTAAAATTTCAGAGAAATTCCTGCAGTGGTATGTTTTATTAAAATTAAATGATACTTTAATTCATTATTTTATTCATGTTGCCTTTTTCAAGTACCATAGCTCTTTTTTATGTATTTGGTACAGGGTCTCACTACACAGCTTGAACTTGTAGTGATCCTCCTGCTTTCAGTCTCCCCGGTCCTGGGAATAGAGGTGTGTGCCGCTGCACGTGGACTCAGTGGCTGGCTCAGCGCTCCCCGGGGTGGGCCCGTGCGTCCGCAGGACCGGGAATCGATGTAGCTCTTTTCTAAAGTATAAACTAGTTTTTAAAAAAAATCTCCATTTTCTGCCTCACAGGTTTATCTGATATTGGCACACATATGTGAAGGAAATATACAATATCAATCCATGAATTAATAAAAATGACATATTTCTCCGAAGCCATGTTGAAACCCAAATATGTTTAGTTACAAAGTCAGTTTTCATAAAGATGAGAACTTATGCTGTAAGAATATGTATATAAATCAATAAAAGTTTCCAATTGTTGACACAGATTTCTAAAAGTTTCATCACATTGACAGTGAGTTTTCCTTCACAAGACTGATTATTTTCCTAAGTTATTAATATTCACAGAAGAATATTTCTATTTCATTGGTGGAGACAGTACATAAATTTAAAGGTAGAGTTTTACAGAAAACAAATCTCAAAATACAAGCAAAATAAAAACTCAAGGATCCCCCCATGTTTTAAATACACCTGGAATGCTTCTATCATTCTCATGTGTAGCAAGACACCTCGGAGCTGCGCCTTGGCGAGGTCGCTGCCTGTAATCACATATCACGGAGAAGCCACGTCAGCCTATAAGCAGAGCAGCATCCCGGAAGGACATGGAGCTCACTGGCTCCCAGGCAGCGTCTACAGGTCACCTTGGACAGCCCATCGCTAAGCTGGACACTTACGGTTGCATCACCACCATGACCCAAGTCAGCGTAGTCCATGTATTATTTCATTGGTGTACTTGGTTTCCCTATATTTTTGTTATTTCCTAGTCTTTGTGTGTATCTTTAGTTAATAATCAAAAGTTATTAACAACTTCTAACAGGATCATTAGCTTTGTTTAACCAAACATTTTCTTAATTTCATAGGAAAAGACATGCATTGTTATGCTAATATGTAAAGAACTATAATTATCCGTAGTATGGAAATAATGAATAACTGAAATACAATGCTATACCTGTGAATAGCTGAATATTTCTAAAAAAATAATCTGTCAGCATAGAAAATATGTTATTGGCTCATATACTAACACACCTAAATATTACTGCTTTAGGCCAAATACAGTATATTTAAATATGCTATGAATTGTATTTAAATTAAAAATCAATAGCTGTTTTTAAAGGCTGTAGTGTAAAATGTTTTTATATAGTACTGTGTAAAAACTAGATGCAAAATTATTTTCAATGAAGTAATGGATACAAAACATTAAGTATACTTTGAGATTCATGGTGTTGTACTCTTACACACACACACACACACACACACACACACACAAATGCACAAATATTGAAGTGAGATAAAAAAGTCTATGTTCCACTACAGTTAGTGAGTACTTTGAATCCTACATGTTGCCTCCTCCTGCAAATTTCAAATAAATGTAGGCTAAGCACAATGGCATTTGATGTTTTAATTAGGTGAGAAAGTACCTGGAATAATTTTCATACAAACAATTAATAATATCAGTTGATAAAATATTAGAATGAGAAAATTTATATTCAGAAGTTTCTCTGGGAAAACTTATTCTATTCAGATTCTCCCAAAATTAGTATACCTCAAAGTCTTTTTTTTTAAAGTTAATGTATTTGGTTGTTGCAGGGTCTCACTACATAGCTTAGACTCACAATGATTCTCCTGCTTTCAGCCTCCCCAGCACTAGGACTACAGACATGCACCAGCAGGCCCAGACTGGCTGGCTGAGCCTGCCTGGGGGCAGGGCTGGCATGCCATGTAGTGTCAGGGATCCAACAGTGGTCCCCGGGGCTCACCTAAGCTTGTCTAAGCAGGCACTTTAACAAGCTGAGCTATCCCGCCAGCCCTATATCTGTCTTAAGGAATCAAGTGTTTTAAATATTTATTATTCCTCCAGTGCATCACCAGAATATGTCTCCTTGTCTTTTACAGTTTTGATTGTATTAACCATAAATTTCTACAATAAACTACAATATGGACAATTCATTGTAAACATATTGGAAGAAATTGTTGAAACAGCTGACATCTGATATCACTCAAGGGCAGGGGAGATGGCTCAGTGGAATAAGCGCTTCTCTGGAAAGCGCAAGGGCCTGAATTCAATCCCTGGTTCTGAAAAAAAAATGGCTATCATTCAATTTTCTAACCTATTTTCATGTGACACTACCTAGTGGAAAAAAAAAATCCCTAGCTTCCTATGGATCCAAGAGCACATGGATTAATTCATATTCAAAGCAGAGGTTTTATGTCACAGGCTCTGCCTCTAAAGACAATTGTGAAATCCTCTACTCTTACACAGATTACCACACTATTTCCTATTATGATTAGATTAAATATGAGTTTAGACAGCAATCCACATGACAAAAAATGAAAATTCCATGGAATCAAAATCCACTGTACACATCATCTATGAAAACATTCTCACTCCTAGAGAACGTAATTCGTGTTAACTAGCTCATGTTTCATATTACAGAATTCTCATTCTTTGATTTTCATAATGTTTCATTTGTTTTTATTTGTCCTAGTTTAGAGGGCATGAGGTTCACATTCAGCTTAGCGAGTGGGCACATGTAATAAAGCCATCTTGATTTATATACATGGTACAATTGCTTTTCCTAAGCACACAATATTTATTCTTCAAACATATTCTCTGTAAATATAGTGATTCCTTAAAGACATAAGGAGTAACATTTTCCAATATCCTTCGAGTTCATATACATTTTTCATATAAACTTTAAAAATTTTACAACACATTGCTCTTATCTTGTTTAAAGTAACAATAGCTTCAAGGAGAGCATCATTTACTATCTGCCTCAGACTTGCTATAAATGCATGAAGTTAATTTCGAGCAAACATCATTGGTGTACTTTATCAATTTAGTTATCAATTAACTTTACATGTGAGGAGTCACATTCAGCTTTTTCAGCATTGTATGATGTTTATTGTTTTAGTAATGAGGCAAATCGATGTTTTAAAAATACCTTGCAAGTATTTAAATGTCACCTTCAATTTATCTATTTTTAGAGAATACTCTAATCATCTATCATTCTTTTATCTATCCATCTATCATGAACTCATTAGTCAAAATTTTATTTTAACATTTTTGGTTAAGCTTATGAATTTAAAACTTCTTATTCAAATATTTTAGCAATGGAAAATTTTAATTGATTCTAACAAAATTATTTTAAGCACTTTCTTGAACTTGAATTTCTTGTAATGACTTTTTAAAAAAATACATTTAGAATATATGCCTTATCTCTTACACTAGATTGGATGCGTCACATGAACAAAGCCATATTACCTGCTGACCCTCACTGAATGTTTTCCAGGCAGCCCAGCCACTCACCTCTTATCCCTGTACTCCTCAGCAGTGACATCTGTGTGAACACCCAGCGTCAGCTGTGTGTATATTCACTTGGGAAAGCCCATGGCGACTTGGACCACAGAGGCCAAGTTCACAGCACACATGCTGGCCCTGGGCCAAGGCTAGGAAGGGAGCACTTCCAGGTTTTAAAAAAATCTTCCTATGTGTGTTAAGGTCAACTCAATGGGAAAACACATTGTTCTCTTCACACTCACCTAATTTCAATATACCTCAAACCCTTAAAGGTTCACATGTCTTACATATTTATTATCCATCCAGTGTTTTACCAGAATGTGTCTCCACACTGTTGATAATTTTTATTGTACTGGGTAGCAAATTTCTGCATCCAAATGTAATATGAAAAAGTTATAAGCACATTGGAAGAAATTCTTGAAATATCTGACATTTGAAGACTTTGCTTTAGGTACTATTTTTTTTCCAAATGTTCTATGGCAATAATTACTAAATCACAAAAGAGCATTTCAAATTCTATTTTGGATAAAAAATGTGTTGACCCTTTTGATACTCTGATTAAAAGTTTATCAATCTTTTTTATTTTTTCAAAATCTGTTTTCTATTCTTTTATCATTGTTTCTTCACTCATTTATATAGATTTTGCTTTTATTAAGTTAAGTTCAGAACTAATATTTATTATTTATATTTTTCAATTGGTTTTTAGTTTGACTTCTTGTTATTTTATTATTTTGAAATATAGCATTAAGTTGCCTATTTGACACTACGCTGATTTTATAACTTATGCACTCATACCAATAAATACATTCTGACTACTTTCAAAGTTCTCCACAGTTTTTAAGGAGTTTTATTTGACTCTATTTTTTTTTTGTCTTTCATCTGATGATGTCAAAACACACTGCTAATTCAAAAGTGAACAAAGTTTGGCTTGAAGCCTGCTTTACTTGATATAAGTATGAATATTCTGTCTTGCTCTCAGAATTCATTTACTGATATTGTCCATCATGTGTTCTCCGTCTGGTGCTGTACATCCATGGGGTGCTTTCAGGTGTGGTATTGTCAAGAGTAGAGTTATTTCCCTCTTATTGCAAAGAAAGCGAGTGGTGAGGAGTGGGCTTGCAGGGCCTCCTTAACCACCATTATCTTCAGGTTAGTGTTGTTTTAGAGTGTACTAGACTCTTTTCAGCTAAGGTACGTGATAGGTAGCCATGGGCCTCTTTTGTGGTTGGGTTAGGGAACTGCAGACATCTAAACCCATCCTGGAGGTCACGATGTCCCCGGCTCATGGAGGGAGAGGTCAGCCTGTGCGCCGTGCACCTGGGCTCAAGGCGCAGGCGCCTAGTCACTTGCCCCCCTCAGTTTTGGCACCATCTGCACTGGCTTCCTAGCAGTACCTCACACAACCAGGCTTGCTCCCCTTCAACAA